CATATGATTCGCTATAAGGGCACCCACAATCCATTGAACTCTATAAAATTCAATGGGGTGACACATCATCCATTAAACATCTATACAACACCACTCACAACCCATTAAACACTTATTCAATCTTAATCACTACTTTATTCCTTCTATTGAACCATTCAATGATCATTCAACTCCTCCATTCAACTGTACTCCATGTCATCACCCACACTCCATTCAACTCCTATTCAATCATAGTTATCATCATATTCAACTCTTATACTACTTGTATTGTGGATTCTCTAAAAATGAAAAAAGTATATATATATATATATATATATATATATATATATATATATATATAGGAGTAGGATCAAATGAGAACACCAAAAATGTTGAGAACGCGAGAACAAAGTATATTCATTTGTGATTCCATGTATTCATTTGTGGAGAAATGATAAATTTTTACGCCTTTAATTTCAATTGAAGAGAAAAAACATATTCATGTTGATTGTGCGTAAAAATTTATCATTTCTCCACAAATGAATATATGGAATCAAAAATGAATATACTTGTTCTCGCGTTCTCAACCTTTTAGGTGTTCTCATTTAATCGTTATATATATATATATATATATATATATATATATATATATATATATATATATATATATATATATATATATGTGTGTGTGTGTGTTCTCTATGGCTAGCTCAAGGTATGCATATTCCTAAATTCCAAAATCTAATTTGTAAAGTCTTATCTTATGGTTTTTTTTCTGTTATTCAAAGTCAGCTCTATAAAATGAGTCAAATACTCAAACACAAATTTTAATTGTCCCAAGACATACTAAATTGGGTATTTATTGCACCATCAATTTTTTTTTTAACTAAAAATGAAAACTACGTATAGAAAACGAAAAATTAAAATAACAACCCAACAACATTATCAAACTTGGGGATGAGCAAAAACTGCACCACACGTAAAAATAACCAAAAAACCCGTATAAACTACAACCGCAACGAAAACCGATGGTGAGATTTTCTGTGCGGCTATTAATTTTCAAAAACCGCAAAAAAGCCACACTGCACCGTGTATATTATAATATTATATATATATATATATATATATATATATATATATATATATTTAATTATTAATATATTAAAAAATAAAAAAGAACTAAAATTTGAGTCTTTGAGCTGAGTGAGACTTCTCAATAAAAAATTTCATCGTGTTTGCCTAGCCTTACTCACATAGTCACGCTCAAACAATCAATATTGCCTCCTGCTTAACTCGTACTTTAAGACGTTTATTGTTAATTACTAATGATTTGACGTTTTTAAGATATTAGTTGTTTGTGATTTAAGTTAATTGTATTATACTTTATGCCTTTTTTTATTATTATTACAAGTAACATTTTTGAAAAACCTTTACATTGGTAGAAAATTGTGTTTGCACAAGTTTGAGAAACACATCCAACGTGGCATAAAAGTCTAGCGGGTAAAACCACGTAAAACGAGAATAGTCATCCACAAATGTAACATAATAACGATAGGAATCAACCGAACATAACGGGGACGGGCCCCACAAGTCACAATGAATTAGGTCTAATATGTTTAATGCACGTTTTTCATTGTTTACAAAAGGTAACCGATGTGCTTTTGCCATCTGAGAAGAGGAGCACAAACCAGGTTTGGGTAAAAGAGAGATAACCGACAACCGGCCCTTTTTATTTAAAAACGAAATAGTATCAAATGACACATGCCCTAAACGGGAGTGCCAAAGTTCAAAAGAGGCCTTCAACGCAAATTTGGTGGAAGCAAACAACACATAAATACCACGTTCACATCGTCCCTGAGCTAGTGTCCGCTTCGTCTTTCGATCCTGGATGTAGAAATGTGGATGGGAAAATAAAACATCCAAACAATTGTCGTGTGTCAGTTTACTAACAGATAAAAGGTTTTTGGTAATCTCAGGCACTACTAACACATCACGAAGACGGATATCACCATTTAAAGTGGAGTGCCCAATGTGAGAAATGGGAAGAGTCATACCATTTCCAAAGAAAACCTTGTTCGTGCCAGAGAAAGGTGTTGGTTGAGAGACGGAGGCAGCGAATGAAGACATATGATCAGTAGCCCCCGAATCAACATACCAATCGGGGCCGGAAGATGTCACATGGCATTGAGCGTGGAAGGCTCTAGCAAGATCTTCATTCGAATTAGGAACGTGGGAGGCATACGACACTTGTTTCGAAGGATCAGAACCGGGAGAATGGGAAGCATAACGGGCAAGTTGAGGGCACGCATTAGCGAAGTGACCATTCGTGCGACATAATTGGCAGTTCGGAGAACGGCACCCACGTCCCCAACCACCACGAGAAGATCGATCGCCACGACCCCGATTAGGAGGATAGGCATTTGATTGAACTGTGAAAGCCACCGGGGGAGGTGCGGTATCATGAAGCGACTGCATAAACAGTTCATGTCCTTCGGCTTGGGCAAGGAGGTCACGGAAAGTAAGAGCAGTGTGGGAGGCCCGGATCGCGGTGGAAAAAGTCTCAAACGGAGCACCGAGACCACAAAGAAACCAATGGACTTTGTCAGAATCAACTACGGGGTGGCCAATTGCGGACAACTGACCACAGAGAGACCGGAATTTGCGACCGAAATCAGAAACGGAGGATGATCCTTTAGATAACTGACGGAGTTGGGCACGCAAGTTCTGAACCCGCTCAACTGAAGAGTTGTTGTAGGCAGCCTCCAGGGCAACCCAAATCTGGCGAGCGGAAGAGAGTCCAACAATTTCAGAAAAAGCTTTTTCCGAAAGGGATGCATGAAGTAGGATAACAGCCCTCTGATCAGCGGATAACCACGCAGCATACTCCAGATTTGGGGCAGATTTACCTTATGAGAGAATGACAGATGGCGGAGCAGGGGAAGATCCATCAATAAGGGGCAACAGATTTTGATAGGTGAGAAGGGGTAGAAGTTGATTCCTCCACAACAGGTAATTGGAAGAGGTAAGGCGATTGGAGATGAGATGAAGGACTGTGTTCATGGGGAGAAGAGAATAAGAGGTAGATGAACCAGCCATTGGAGAAGAGTAAGGGAGGGGAGGGGAAGAGATAGGATCAGTAGGCGACTGATACCATGAGAATATTACTCTCCATACCAAAAGAGGCAAAAGAGGCAGAGAGTTGATCAATTTATAGGGAAAATAATTTACAGAAATACCCCTATACAAGAAGATAGAAAGACTAGCTATAACAACAAAAAAATTAAAGAAATATAAATATAAGCACTAATTACGTCTAATAAAAATCACACAAACTAACTGCACCAAATCCATGCAGTTAATAACCGAACCACAAATAAAAAAATCGCACTGCAAAAATAACCGCATAACCGCACCGATCGGTTTTGAAAATGGATTAACCGTATTTGCGGTTAGCGGTGATGTTTTCGCCAATAACTGCACCGAACCGCACCACGCTCATCCTTATCAAACCATCATATCAAAATGAAGAATGAACTTAAAATATCACTTGAATTTTGAAAATCTAGTAAAAAACAATACTCTCTATTTTATCCGGATCTGCATTAAAATGAAAAAATACAACAATATTACACTAAAAATACTATAAAAAGCAATAAAATAATACTCTCTGTGATTCACATTATCTAGTTTAATAAGATAAAATGCAAAAATAATTTATTCTTGAAAATCAAATAAGAAACAAGATTAAACAAAATAAAAGAATTACATAAAATAAAATAAGGGTTTTTTTACACCCTAATTCCCATTTCTGATTTTTTTTTGTCTTTTAGTTGTTATTATTATTATTTTTTTTTTTGCGTTTTTGTTGTTTTTTACCTTTTTTTATTTGGTTTTTTGTTTTTTTGTTTGTTTTTTGTTATTTGTTTTTTTGTTATTTTTATATTTTTAATAAATACATATTATTATTAATTTTAATTCGGACTGTTTTTGTGTTATATTTTTTTTCATTCAAACTAACTATCACTGTGTTACTTTTTCCGTTCGGATTATCCATGTATTATTTTTTTTCGTTCAGATTATACTCATGTTATTTTTTTGCGTTTCGACTATCGTTGTGTTATTTTTCCGTTTCGATAAAACTTCAAAAATGGTCCCTGTGGTTTCCGAAAATATCAAGTTTAGTCCCTAAGTTCAAAAAACCTCACGGATCGTCCCTGTGGTTTCAAAACTTTTAACATTTGGTCCTTCCGGCTCACTCCGTTAAATTTTGGCCGTTAAGTAAAGGACATTTCTGTCTTTTCACTACCACAGGGACTATTTATGAAGTTTTGTCTTATTTATAAAAAAAATATATTTAATATTAAAGGTCTCTCTCTCTCTCTCTCTCTCTCTCTCTCTCTCGTTTTCTTTTCCGTCTCACGAACATCACAAGGAAACCAAATATCCACCCACTGCTATTTCCCTCTCGTTCGTATCTCACCGGCCGACCAAATTCAGGATTATATTGAATGACCAATGATAATCGGACTCGACCAAACTAAATTAATTGGTTGATTTTGGTGCTGAGAGAAGGTAATTTTGCTTAAAAACCAAAAGTTTGAGTCGATGATTTCCCTCTCGTTCTGTATTCAAGTTTGATTATGTAGGAGGTAAACATCCTCCTGCGTCTTCTTCGTTCTCAGGTTATCGCACCAAAAAAAAAAAACGATTTTCGTGGCTTTGAATGTGGAACTCGACTGGAGTTTATTATTTACGAAGGGTTTAAGAGGACTTATGGTGGTGGAGTAGCAGCAGCCGAACAGGTGGTGATGGCGGTGATTTGGAACAGCGATGGGGGTGGCAGGAGGCCACTCCGGTGGTCTTCTGATGCCCTGTTCTTGCTTCCTTCGACTGTATTCAATGAAGGGAGTGTGGAGAAGGTCACTAAGTAGCTTAGGGGTGGGCAGGGACAGGATCCCCCTGATAGCTGTTGTGATCCATTGAAATCAGTGATAAAATCCAATCCAGAGTGCTTGTGTAGTATGATAAGCAATCAAGGTACTAAAAATGCTGAGAATGCTGGTATCAATGTCACTAAGGCCCAAGAATTACCAGCAAGATGTGGTCAACGTGTCAACCCGATCTCATGCATCACCTCCACCTCTAAGACTACTCCAGGTATCACGATCGGATCGATCATACATTCCCCGACCGTTTTCTATCTTTCTTGTTTCTCTTCAGCAAACTTATAATCTTCATGTGTGTTTCAGGTACAAGTGATTCCCAAAGCTTAGGAAATTCCATGGTCTACTTATTGTACCCGTTGATGCTAATCGCAGCTGTATATGCTTGATCCATTTTATTTTATTTTTTTGTTGCATGATTAAACTGAATGTACATAGGAGGTGGCGTTGGGCAGTAGGAGGCTGCTTTGGTGGCCTTCTGCTTCTTCTTTCTTGCTTAAAATTGCTAGTGAAAACAAATGGGATGAGGGAGAGAGCTGTGGTGATCGAAAACAACAGCAACAAATGGTTGGGGATGTGCTCTCCGGTGGTAGCAGTGAAGGGTGGGGTGGTGGCAGTTTGATGGCAGCAAGGTGGATGCCACCTCTTCCTTCCTTTTTCTGGGCAGAAACAGATAAGAGGGAGATGTGAGGTGGTGTTTGGGGTGACGTTTTTGATCAGAAGAGGGAGGTATAAGGGTGGTTTTGGGTGGTGGGTTATGGTGGTTTCTTGGAGAGAGAGAGAGAGAGAGAGAGAGAGAGAGAGAGAGAGAGAGAGAGAGAGAGATGGGTGGGTGGGCCCCCTTTATATTAAATATATATATATATATATATATATATATATATATATAGATATATATATATATATATATTTTAAATAAGACAAAACTTCATAAATGGTCCCTGTAGTAGTGAAATGACCGAAATGCCCTTCACTTAACGGCCAAAAGCTAACGGAGTTAACGAAAATGACCATTTGTTAAAAGTTTTGAAACCACAGGGACGATCCGTGAGGTTTTTTGAACTTAGGGACTAAACTTGATATTTTTGGAAACCACAGGGACCATTTTTTAAGTTTTATCTTTTTTTTATTCAGGTTATCCATGCGCTATTTTTTTTCGTTCGGACTATCTAATGTTATTATTTTGTTGCGTTTTTCGTAACCATTAAATAAAACCCAAACACAACCATACATATAACTGTTCATAATTTTTTTTAACACAAGGATAATCCAAACGAAAAAAGTAATACAATGATATTCCTAACGAAAAAAATAAAGTTAAAGTTAAAGAGACATCAAATCAAATTAATTATTTTTAAATAATAATAATGATAATAATAATAATAATAATAATTAATAAAAGACAAGAAAAAAACGAAACAAAAAACAACAAAAAGACAAAATATATTAAATCAAAATGGGTTTAAAGACAACAAAATGACAAAAAAAAAAATGGGGTGAATGGAGAAATTTGATGGATTTAGGGGTAGACAAACAACATCGCATAAAATAAATATAAAAATAATTACTTTTAGAAAAACCTTTTGATTTTGATCATTCCTTGTTTTTTGTTTGCAAAAAAAAAGAATAATAAAAAAAAAACCCCCCACTGCAACCAGTTGAGCTGTTATTTCAGTCAAAATCCCAATTTTGCAAATTTTCCAACAAGTTATGTCCTTTTTTGTTAGAAAAAATTCAGCCATGGCTTTTTCATAAATAAGCCAAAGTTTATGAACTTTTCTTAAGATTTCTCTTTCCAAATATTGATTGAACTCTGCCACATAGTAGGTTTTATGTATGTACATGTTTACTTGATTTACATATCATATCATGTTTAGGACAATGTGAGGCAACTCAAAATTTGTGGGATGGATACAGAAAAAAGATAACAAGATTTACCACCAATTGCATGACATGGCGATTTTCTATTACCAAAAGTCTCCACAAGAGCATATTCCAGATCCAAAATGATGGAATCTATTGGCATCTCTAACAATAATTTCTCGTTCAAAATACTTTGAAACAAGCTTGCTGAAAACATGGCAATCATCACAAACACGAAGGTTCTTTGTGACACGAATTGGCATCCCTTTGCTTGTTTTAAGCAATCCATAAGCAATCGCCAATCTTTCACTATGCCCATTAAACATTTCCCCTAAATACCCCTCTTCCCTCTTTAATATATCATTAATTTGAGCTAATTTGTCATAAATCTCATCCGATTCTGGATGAGATTTGTCCCTCACTGTAAAAACATGAATCTTGTTCCAAATCTCAATCCAACTACAACCAGGATCTTTCTTAAAACCCTTTTGTCTCATTTTCATTCTTATGTCACCAACATCATCCCATTGGCCACAAAAAGCATAGAAATTTGATACGAGAACATGATTCTTTACACTATCTGAATCCAACTCAAGAAGTTTTTTCGATGCAAAGTTTCCTAATTCTATGTCATTATGTACCTTGCATGCACCAATGAGACAACGCCAAATGGCAACATTAGGTTTCATTTCCATGTTTTCAATGAACTTAAATGCTTCTTTTAAGTTGTTTGCACGACCAAAAAGATCAACCATACAAGTATAGTGTTCTTGCCATGGATTTAAAGCATATTCATCTACCATTGATTTGAAAAAAGCTTTTCCTTCATCAACCAATGATGAATGGCTACAAGCATAAAGAATTGCCAAGAAGCTTACATGATCAGGGTAAACTTTTTCAGCCACCATTTGGTGAAATAATCGAACCGATTCCATTCCCATTCCATGCATTCCATATGCATTGATCATGCTTGTCCACATGACTAAATCTTTGGTTGGAATGGAATCAAACACTTTAAATGAATCCTCTAAAGCTCCACAAGCCGAATACATATCCACAAGAGAACTTGAAATGGGTCCCTGAAGAATGAAACCTTTTCTTATTAAAACCCCATGAATCTCTTTTCCTTTTTTTAGTGTGGATAAATCGGAAACAGCAGAGAGTAAGCTAAGTAATGCAATGGAATCAGGTTCGATTCCGGTTTCTTTCATGGAAACAAAAACATCAACAGCTTCATCTGCAAGTCCATTTTGTGCAAGATTGTTCACCATGATTGTCCAAGAAACAAGATTCTTTACCTTAATGAGTTCAAAAACACGAGAGGCATAATCTATGCATCCACATTTTCCATATAGATTAACGAGTGTATTCTCAAGGGCAATATCATATAACCCTTTTTGTATCATATGACCATGGATTTCTTTTACAACAGAATCACACATCAACTCGCTACAAGCTTGCAGAATGCTTGCAATCAACATGGAATCACTTTCAATTCCTTTCATTTGAGATTCACGAAATAAAGTTAATGCCTTTGAATGATATCCATTCTGGGCATACCCTGAAATGATGGTTTTCCAAGAAATGTTATCTTTGAAACGGATTCTCTGGAAAAGGGATTCTGCATAGTTCATTTTGCAACACTTTGCATACATATCAATAAGTGTGTTACAAACATGCAAATCAGAATCCATCCTGTTTTTCATGGCATATGCATGAACTTCAAGAGCATTCAACAGGTTCCCCAAATGACCAACAGTTGATATCATGCTTATAATTGAATATTGATCAGGTTTTCGACCCATAATCTGCTTTCTGTGAAATGTAGCCATAGCTTCATCATAAAGACCATTTTGAACATATCCTGATAACAAAGAGTTCCAAGTAACACTATCCTTTTTATCCATCGCATTGAAAATCCTTTCAGCTTCTTTCATTTTACCACTTTTTGTGTATAAAACAATCAGTGCATTGGCTACAAACATATCTAGATAAAGGTCAGATTTCAAAAGGAAAGCATGAAGTTCCTTGCCAAACACCAGATATGAAGACTCTTCACAAGCTTGAAGAACAGCAACAAAAGTATATGTGTTTGGCACAACCCCTGCTATCTGCATTTCTTTGAACAATCTCAAAGCTTCCACAGTCTTCCCAGAAGCAGAATAAGATGAAATTATCGAATTCCATGAAACCACATCGGTTTTCCCACTCATTATCTCAAACAACATCATTGCTGAACTTGAATCATTGCATTTTACATACATTCCCAACAATGAGTTGCTTACATACAGGTTACAAAGAAACCCCAATTTTGTAGCCATTCCATGAACTTGAACCCCATAACAACGATCTTCAAGCTCCCCACAAGCCTTAAGAATCGAAGTAAAAGTACTAGCATCAGCATGAACTCCTAGCGCATTCATATTCAAAAACAACTTAATGGCCTCAATATGTTCTCCATTTGTCATATGAGATCCAATCATAGCATTCCAAGTGAAAATACTTCTTTCAGTCATTTTGTCAAACACTTTATGAGCATCCAATGAAGACCCACATTTCCCATAAGCAAGCACAAGCTTAGTACTTAAAAACGTTGTGTCTACTACATAACAAGATTTCAACACATGGGCATGGACTTGCTTGATTTGCGACAAAGATTCTTGTGTGGAACACCGCTCAAGGATCAAAGAATAAGCATTATCGAAACAATTGTTGCAACCTGTGTCGTGGTCAATGAGATTGTTTGCAAGAGAAATGAAAGCTTCCTTCAGGGTTCTTGGAGGATACATGTTGATGGAATTGCGGGAGAATTTAGAAACAGGCTGGATATTATTATCACTAATTTTCCCTAAAATGGGAGCTTTCACAGTCGTTAATGGAGTAGCCATAAGCCCAAAATTTACTGGCATCGTATGTATCCGACAAAAAGAAGATTTGGTTGGTGTTTATAAAGGCGTTACATATGATCAATTGTCGTCCAGTCGGTTAGGATATCTGACAGCGGGTATGATTCCCGGCAATGGAACGTTTATTGGAGGACTTGTATTTACAAAAAAAAAATAGCCAAAATTATTGATTTAAGACAAAATTTCATAATTAGGCTTATGGTTTCCAAAGTACTGCACCTTGAAGACAACTATCGAAAACGTTAGGCCACTAGTCTTTATCGTTTTGAAACCTTGCACGAATGGTCCTTCCGACATTAGAAAAAAACCAATTTACTCTTGAACCAAACCTGCAATATACAACAAACCTCAAGGACCATTTGTATAATTTTAAATAAACCAATATATATATATATTATATATATATATATATATATATATATATATATATATATATATATATATATATATAGGAGGGTTCAATTGAGAAAAAAAAGGTTGAGAATGGAGGAATCATTCTCAGTCACTAATTTATTTTTGTCGTAAAAGCCTCCGTCGTACCAGCGGAAATGGGAAAGGAATAGACATGTGTTTTCCAACAAAACATGTTTTCTAAAACTATGCTAAACATTACCTTAATATATACAAAAACATAGTTTTTTCGTTTTTTTTAATTTTTAAGAAGCTATTTTTATCGAAAAATGATTTTAAATATACCAAAGTTCATGATTTTTTATTCTCTACAAATAGACATCCATATTGATATATTTTTAAGATAAAATAAAAAATTTATTTTTTTTATATTTTCAGCTATCGTTATTCATAAGTGAATAAAAATGAATCAGGTTTTTGGTTTTTACTACAGTACATTCGTTATTCACTTATGAATAAAAACTATGATTAATTTTTTTTACAATTTAAGTATCATTCATATATGAATATAGCATATAATAAACATAGTATATTCATATTTAAATATTAGAAGATGCATTCACTTGTGAATATTACATAGTTTATTCACTTGTGAATATTATATGATATATTCACTTATGAATATTAGATAATATTTTCATATCTGAATATTACGTAGTATTACATGGTATATCACATGTGAATATTACATAGTATATTCACTTGTGAATATTAGATGATATATTCACTTATGAATATTACACAGTATATTCACATATGAGTATTACAATGTATTTTCACAAATATATATAATTTTTATATGTTATTCACATATGAATAACATACAGACTTGCATATTTGTTTTTTTGTTTTAATAATCATATACTGATTCAGGTGAGAAAACATATTCATATATGAATATAACGTGGTAATTTAGTTTATGCATTTCATCAAACAGTTGGAGTGCATACAATTTAACTTTTTTAAAAATGTTAAAAACATGATACTTTGACTATTTAAATCTTACAAAATAGTAGATTGATAGAGAATTATATGAATTTTTTCAAAAAAAAAACGATTTGATCTTTTTCCAACCTCAATTTTGAAGGTTTATGTGATAATCGATGTTGAATGAATGATATGAAGTGGATTTTTTTGTTGATTATCGATGATGTTGATCTAATGACGCTGGGAGTATAATTAATCGTAGATGTTGAAGATCTGATCGTATTCAAGCAGAATTGAAGGTTGGATTAAAAGAACCAAAAATGAATTTTTGTTGTTAACTGTTGAATCGTGTTGATAAACATGTTATTGACGAAGATCGATGATTGATTAGCACTGAATGATGTTGATGATGGTTTAATTGAAGAAATCTGGATGATTGTTGAAGGTTGGAGGAGAAATTTGGAAGATGAACGATCGATTACAGTTGCGTATTTGAGATTGAAGGTTATTATCATATTTACAAGTTGCCACCGTGTCTTTATGCTTAGAAATGAGTGGCTGAGAATGATTCCCCCATTCTCAACATTTTTTTATTTTCTTAATTGAACCCACCTCTCTCTCTCTCTCTCTCTAGATATATATATATATATATATATATATATATATATATATATATATATATATATAGATATATATATATATATATATATATATATATATATATATATTCATTTTCTTATTTCAAATATATTTCGAAATAAACCAAAATACTGATAATTATGCATAAAGTCAGTTACATTTTCATAAACATACACAAAAAATCTAAATTTTTTAATACAATTAATTAGTTGTTGGTGATTTGTTTCACTAATTGTATTTAAGTGTAATGGATTGACTTGATGACCAAAATCAATCTTGATGAACATTAAACAAACAAAAAATGTGTAGAGTACACACTTGTTTAAGTTTATATAAGATTCAAAGTAAGAGCAAAGTGATATCGAAACGAAAAAGATTTCGGAATGAAATTGATATCGGAACCGAAAATTATTTCGGAATGGAATTGATATCGGAACGAAAATTATTTCGGAATGGAATTGATATCGGAATGAAAATGATTTCGGAATAGAATTGATATCAGAACTGAAATGGCTTCCGATGAGCTTCGATGAATCGGAACTTGTTGGAAAGTTACTGTTCACTTCCGATGGACCGGAACTCGTTGGAATGGTACTCTTCACTTGCGATGAATCGGAACACGTCTGAATGGTATTGTTCACTTTAGATGAATCGAAACTCATTGGAACGGTAATGTTTACTTCCGATGGATAGGAACGCATCAGAACAACTCATATCGGAACGTGTCGGAACAAGCTTGCGTCGGAACCCGTGCAGTTCGGTGTTTTACCCGTCGGTTTGGTGTTTTATCCAGTGGTTAAAACGATCGTTTTTTATGTCAGGTTTGACTGTTGGTGACAGTTTTGGGACACCCATCGGTTATGCTTTTATCCAGTGGTTAAATGCCCGTTTTGTGTCAGTGCTTTGACCGTTGGAAACTGTCCTATAACAGTTTTTAACAAGAGACATATTTTGTCACACCCGGATCCCGAGGTACTTCACATTTTCAATTTTTGGCATTTTAGGGTTTGTTACAGCGTGGTGGAGGAACCGTGACGTGGCAAATCAAGATAAAATTTGCGGGTTCATTTAAGCCGCCACGGCGTGGCAACTGGCATTTGACAAATCCTATTTTCTGGGTTTTGCTCCATATTTAAAGGACTGAGGAGGCTAGGGTTTACTCACCATTAGCCTCCATCAGCCTCCTTGAGACCTGAGAAACCCTAATCCCATTCCTACTTTATTTAAGCTCTTTTTGGTGTCCTTTGAAGCCATTAAAGGAAGAAAGAAGAAGAAGTGAGCTAAGATTCAACAAGCAAGTCCCCATCCTTTGTTGTAGCACTCTTATGGGCCTTTATAAGTGTCCAAAACTCGATTTTTATTATGATAGGTTGTTAGTATTGGATTAGGTGTCTAAGCCCATAACTATTTTGGTATGTACTTGACCCGATTATGAGCATGGTCCTTTTGGGTTGCCTTCACCATAGCAACTGATAGGATGAACTAAGGAGAAAGAGGATTAATTATGATTTATTAATATATTATATGAATAATATATTAAAAGAGAAATCATATTGTTTAATTAATATTAGTCAAGAATTAATTAAGAATTAATTTTGTGGCTAAAATAGATTAGTTAAATAAAGGGGACTGATATTGCAATTATATGATAGTTGCAAATTGGGCTATGGATTCCTAATGGAAAGGGCATTGGACGAAATCTATGGGAAGCCCATATGATTTTTGTCCAAGGGATTTCTAGAGGGACTCCATGGGTTGCTTAAGGCCTAAGCAGAGAATTAGGGTTTCACCTGAAACCCTAGCAGCCCTCACAACTATATAAGGACGCCTAAGGTTCCCCAAAACGTGGCTAACCTTCTAAGAGAAACCCTAGGACGTTTTTGATGCCTCCTCCTCTTTCCTTGTTCATCTTGTTGCTTATGGTGTTTGTGACTCCATTAGAGGTGCAACACTTGAGGCACTAAGCTTTCAGAAGTCGAGATCTAGAAGGATTGTGATTGTTATTGCTACATAACAATCAAAGTAAAGTTTCTAACCCTAATTTTATGTCAATTTCGATAATAGCATGTTAGATCTAGGGTTTATGCTTTGGTATTCAATGTTGTTGTGTTCATAGTAGAAAAACCTATATCAAATCAATTAGGATTGCATGTACACTATATGAATGATGTAATGCTCATAACCCAACAGTGGTATCAGAGCCTGGTTGTTTTTCTGGTGAATAGATGCAAAAGTGAACCACCAAAGATCAATAAAATCGAAAATTTTGCATTCTGACTGGCAGACTCGTTGAGTCCATGAATGGACTCGACGAGTAGGTCCTACTCGACGAGTTCCATTGTGGAATCGACGAGTCCAGGGATCTGGTGCCGGGATTTTCGATTTTTCTGCCAGATTTTGTTGAGGATAATTGCCAAAACTCGTTTTTCTTGCCAAAATCCGATTTTTTAAGTTTGGAATGGTTATCCTCATCAAAATTGATGGATTTGGTTAAATATGGATAATATAGGATTATTATTAGTCAAATATTTGACCTAGTAATTTAGAAAAGTTTCAAATTACACCCCTTAGGTTTTACAGTTTAAGTTTGAACTTAAAAGTTTTAGTTTTTTGAAATTTAAATAGTTAAACCCTAATGTTTTGAAAGGTTTTAAAACTTGCCCTCAAGTTTTGGAATTTAATTTTAATTAAAAGTTATTAATTTTGAAATATTAAATTCTAAAACCCTAAAGTTTGGAAAAGTTCAATTTACACCCTTATGGTTTATTAATTTAATTAAGAGTTTAATTAAAAGATAATTAATAAATCATAATTATATGGTTTAAGATTAATCAAAATTAAAGGTCTAATTTATTAATAAGTTTAAACCACTTAGTATTTTAAAAGTATAAAATACACCTTATACTATATAACTTTTAAAGGTTTAACATATTATATATGTATAAGTAAAGAGTCAGTCTTACCGTTAGTAGGCCTCATTCACGAAGCTGATCTCTGAGGGGTGTTTAAGGAAATTGCCTATAAAA